GGCAGGGTTGTAGAAATTTTGGTGGTGCCCAGAACCCATCCTCCACACCTGCCTAAGGCTCTGGGAGGGGGGTTGGGTGGGGGGGAGGAGGTCTGGGGTGCAGGTCCTGGGCTGGGGATTAGGGTGCAGGAGGGGTGCAGGCTCTGGGATAGGGTTTGGGTGCAGGTTCCGGGCTGGGGCAGGGGGGTGGGTGTGCGTGCAGGAGGGGGTGAGGGGTGCAGACTCTGGGATGAGTTTGGGGGTGGGAGGCGGTACAAAGGGAGGGGGTGCAGGCTTTGGGAGGGAGTTTGAGGGCAGGAGGGGGTGTGGGAAGGGGTGCAAGGGTGAGGGCTGTGGGGCTGAGGATAAGGGGTTCGTGATGCAGGAGGGGGCTCAGGGATGGAGCAGAGGATTAGGGTGCAGGGGGATGAGGGCGGGGCTGAGGATGAGGTGTTTGGGTGTTGGAGAGGCTCAGGGCTAAGGGCAGCCTGTCTTGCCATTAGCGGATGGGGGGCACTAGGACCCAGGGGCAGCAGTTGCTGCTGGCTCTGGCAGTACAAGCAGACAAGGGAGAGAGACGGGCAGGGAGGGGGGGAACCCACGGGGGGGGGTTGCGAGGGGGGGTGGCAGGTGGAGGCCAGGGACCCATCCAACCCACCCCCTGCTTCCTGACTGCCCCCGGGACTCCCCTTACCATGCCCATGTCCACGTGTAGGCAAAAAACACGCTGCAAGCAGCAGGGGAGGGCTCTGGCTGCTAGAGGCCAATGGGAACGGCTCCATCAGGCCCAGCCACCCAATCAGCAGCCACACTCTGCATGGAAGGGAGGGAGGGGAGAGGGAAAATCCCAGACCTTTTAACCTTGTTACCAATTCCTCCCGAACGGCTATTTAGAGACGCAAAAGTTGGACATGTCCGGGGAAATACAGACTGATGGTAACCCTAGTTCCAATGTATGGTCAGATGCCACCCATTCGCATGCAACATTTACCCAGATCTCTTGGAGCTGCAGGATTAGGAGTAAGTGTTGCAAAAATAATTAAATAAAAACCCCACCACAAACCATCAGCCATCTTGTAATTGGTTTTTCACATGACTCACCAATTAACTATTCTGACATGCCTGCTTCTGGAAGAAACCAAGAACTGAAGCGTTAACCTACCTTAACCTGTAGAAGTTAGGTTTAAAGGGTTTGGGTTTTTCTAAAATCTCATTCACCTTTCTCTAGTTACTGGTTAGGTCTGAACATGCCTGTCTAGGTTAGGACATCACCAGTGAAATGCCGTTCCAATTCCTCAACCAGCCGCATCACCAGTACCAGCAGTGTATTAAGCAACATGATTAACATCTGTTACACGTTATTCGTTCTCTCATCCTCTCCCCGAGGGAAAGGAATGTGCCATGTATACACTGTTGTATGTTTATATTAGTGAAGGCAGGACAGAGAAGGGCCCAGGGGGGCTGGAACAATTTGTATAATGAGGTGCTGAGAGCCATTGAACCAAACTGTAAACCCTGCATTTGATGGAAACCAATTGAAGCCAGGAGTGTGGTAGCACCCATAGTTCCAGCATGTATGAAAGTGCAACTTGCCCTTGGAACAGAAGGTGGTGAGGCTTCTCATGTTTGTGGGGCCTGGTGAGGATTGTTCCCTAGTGTGAGAAAAGCTCCCATCTCCTGCACAGACCTGCTTTGCCCAGGTGACATGACAATTCTGCTTCTCAAGCAGAATGGGGCTAAGCATGGCCCTCAGCCCAGAGCTTTAGGTATCCTGCGTCCAGGGCATTGTCCTTTTCTTCAAGGCACTCAGACTCTCTTGAACTGGGCTCCTTGGGAAGCTAGCATGGAGAGCAGAGGAAAGGGTTGGTGCGTGTACCATAGCCCAGGTCACTGGAGAGATAATGCAATATACCAGCACAAATTGCTCCTGTAGTTTACTGGAATAAGTTGCACAACCATTTTACACTGGTGCAGGGTTTCTGCACAAGGGATTTGTGCTGTAAATACACTAGTGCTGATATCCCCAGTTTAGACAGGACCTACCCCATTGCCTGCCTTCCAACAATGCAGTTACTGAAGTGATAGGCAGAGTATAAACCTAAGCAGATGATTATAGCAGCTCCCGAGATCAAACATCAGAAAGCATCCCATCCAGACTTAAGGTGACAGACTGGTGGTTTATTTGGTACCATAAGTGCACACTAGTAACTGATCTGAGGCCATCAACTCGAATGACCAAGCAACCTATTTCTAATGCACCCATCAAAGAATGTAAAAAGAACCAGGAGAGGAACGGTGACTTGAAAATTGTTTAACTACAACAGGTGTGATGAAGTAGAGGGTCCCAGACTCACTTCCTAGAGAGTGATCCGGTTGCATCATTCTGACCCCCTTGGACGCTAACCGGGTCTTGTTCATGCTGCGATATATCGATTCCCATTTAGGAACAGATGCAGTGCATATAGACCCAACTCTATCACATCCCTGGACACTAGCTGCAATGCTCGCTCAGCTGAACAGGTTAGCCACACCAAATTCATTCAACAATTGTCACCTCCACAACAAGCTACCCCCCATGCCTATGATCAGCATTTTAGTTCAAGTTCTACACGTTTCCTTGTCTTTAGATGGAGTATGCGGAATTAAAGCTGTATTGGTCAGCCTGGAATGGATCTTTCCAATTCCTTGTTGGTTGGGTCCTACTCTAAGAGTATTGCTTCCTCTAAGAAAAAGAAAGAGAGAGAGAGAGAGAGAGAGTGTGTGTGTGTGTGTGTGTGTGTGTACACACACACACACTAGTTAGACGTA